AGCATTAAAAAAAGGCATTTGAATCAACAGCATGTGGTACATCCGGGGGTATGTGATATGTTCCATTACATTGAGGCAAAATTATGCTTTTGAGGGTCTCCCCTTTCCTCTAGTGTGTTATATAGATGTTTGTTCATGCCTGTAAATGGTCTGCAAAGGCTAAAAGTTCCTTCCAGCTAGAGTTTCCTTTTAAGAGATGTTGTTGTTGTTGTTGTTGTTGTTGTTGTTGTTGTTGTTGTTGTTGTATGTAAATGTCATTGTTCACTCTTTTGACCACCCACAGAAATCCCATTACCTCCAATTGTTTGGAATGGTGGCAGACATCTTAGAGATACCTCCAAATTCAGAACACATAACTATCTGCAAGGATGGATAGCACCACAGGTAAATGAGAAAATGTGAGCTGGCCCTTAAACCGTGTTGCTACTTTGGGGAATCAAACAAATGTTTTTGTTCATAATATATCTTCAGAAACTTGCAGTTGGCATTGCGTGGTAATCCTCCTGTATTCTGTCAGCAGCACTATGCCCTGCGAGTAATCATCTTTCTCACAAAGGCCTTATGAGGAGAGGCGCTTCTCTTCCCAGGCTCATTCAACAAATCAATTCTGCTTTTTGGCTTTCCACCAAGAAAAGAAAACTTCAGTATTTGCTACACATGTCCTTCATCATTGAATTGTGGTATTCATGGGTTTTTTAATAGAGCTGTGTATCCCATTGTCTGAGGAAGCGAAAGCAAACAGCCCCACAAAGCACCAATTACAACTCTTTCTCCACTGTGTCAAGAGTGGGAAACATATGATGGGGTTTGCAATCATGATCAACATTGTTTAAATGGTTACAAGTTAGTAAATTAGTAAATTCCTCCACTCGTTTATATAAGATGTGCAATTACCGGCAGCTAATACCCCAAAGTCACTCTGAGGTTTTCTGAAAATAAATGAAAACACGCAGGAGGAGCCCATCTCTTCCAGAAGACATAATTTAATCAGTGAGGCATCTGAATATTTCAAGAGCTCTGGCGTACAACGTTTATTGATTCTCAGAATGTGTCTTTTATACATTCAGATGTGGCGGAATATCTCAACAAAATGATTTGAGGCTGACATATATAATTTGACCTTGTCAGAGGCTGACCTCCTTCCCCCCACGTTTCCGTGTAATTGAGCCTTTAGGGAGAGTGGAAAGATTATCTGGCCCTTGCCTTGTAGGATCTCTATTGATGATCAAGAATGGTTACCAACCTTCTAATCGATAAGTGCAGATACACGAGCAGATAGTAATACATATGGGGTGACAGTAACTTATCTCGCCTTGACAAGCGGTTTAATAACTCCAAAGATCACAGACTTACATTAACGGCACCTCCGGGGTAAGCGCTTTGCAGTGAAGGGTATATGTAATTAAATATGTTTCCTAGGCCTAAAAGGCTATTAACTTCTCCTTGAATAATATTCCTCAACAATGAAACATGTATACAACGTGGAGCAGATAGATTTAAATCGCCGGTCAGAAACAGACAGGCCTTTCTGCATTTAAATTACAGATATTTTCATGGAGAGCCAGGAGCAAATCCAAATTGAAAGTTGCATTCATTTTGAGAGTATAAATTGCTTTTTTGTGATGTAGCTTCTGTAATCTTCCAGTGCTGTGAAAATCGTAGCTTTGATGGTGGTTATAGGTGATGCATGGTGAGTGGATTTATTTTTATGTAGGACACTGAATCTTTCACTCTCTAATAACCCTTTCCTATGATCCCTTGCATGGGAAAAAGGAGGCAAGAGAAGGAAGGAAGGATAGATAATTGTCTTGTTTACCTTGATTGTGTGTCTGTGCGTGTTTGTGTTAAAATCACAAGGGTTCAGTAAATTTGCCAGACACAGAGGAGGAAGTAAGTCTCATTCACTTTTTCTGACACATCACCAACCAGTGGCTTGTTGGGCCTCGAGAGGAGCCATTGATGTGTCACTTCACATTTCCTAACACTCAAGATCAATCCTTCATTTGTATTTAGCAATGTGGAAAGCATTACAAACTAGAGAATGCAATTCCTGAAGAAATTGCTAGTGGGAATGCTTTATGCTGAAAAGCTGACGCTAAACTGCTATTCTGAAATGTAATGTGTAAGAAGAAAGTGAAGAATTTAGATTGAAATGATACATGAACACTGGGGGCTTGAATGTGTGATGAGAAGAAAAAAAAGTAAAAAGGCTTGGAAAAGCAGCAGAATATTTGAACTGCAAACTTTTGAACTAACTTGATGGTGAATGGTCTGTCGCCATGCCAACAGCATTGATGACATCCCATAATACGCTTAGATGCGTTGATGGCTGCATGTTTACCAAACCTGTGAAGTGTTGGGCCGTTTGGAGCATTTTCACTGAAGTTATGAGAAAAATGTGTTTCAAACTGTCCCGTAGATGTGTTCACGGCTGGACTGTTAGCACACGTGAAGTTTGAGCACTTTTTGAACATTTTCATAGGAGTTATAGCGACATCGTCTTTTATGGCGAGGGATGCGTTTCCATGGAAACGGCATATGATGAAGTTCCGTAATTGACGTAGAGCTGTTGAGGGCTGGACCGTTAACCATTATCTGAAGTGTGGTGTTGTTTTGACCCTTTTCATAGGCGTTACGACAACATCATGTTTTATGACGAGGGATGCGTTTCCATTGAAACGGCATATGGTGAGATGTCAGATTTGACGTAGAGCTGTTGAGGCATGGAGAGTTGATATACAGGTGAAGATTGTGGGACGACCGGACCGTGTCCATTGGAGCTACAGCGACATCGTGTTTTATGGCGAGGGATGCGTGCGTTTCCATGGCAACAGCCTATGGTGAGATCTCATAATTGACATAGAGCTGTTGAGGGCTGGACCGTTAACCATTATCTGAAGTCCGCTGCTCTGAGCATGTCAGTTGGAGTTATGACATCATCGTGTTCCATGACACAGGTGATTATATTTGAGCTAACAGGTGTCCAGAGATCACAGGTTTCCATGTTTTTTTTTTCAAAATTAAATCTGTCCTCCACTCTAGCTGTGACATCACGCACTCTAAAATCTGAAGAAGGTCTCTTTACCAAGGTCTGAACAATGTTTAATATCTCTAAAAGTACTAATCAGATTTCAAAGTTGTTTAACACGAATAATGTCAGAAAGATGTGTAACATTTTAAAGTTGCAATGAGGTTTCTGAGTGAAAGTATGAAGGAGCAGTTAGCAGTTGAAGTTGCATGAAGATTGTTCAAGTCTGAAGAGTTTCTCCATTGACTTCCATGTTAAAAATGTGATGAATTATGGGATGTATCTCTGGAATTATGAAAGTTATGAATGAGAAAAGTAATAGCCATCGATTCCTGACCGAGCTGAATGTTTTGACGTTCGAACGGAGTTTCTGCGATGTTCAATGTGGGAGCTGAAGAGGTGCAAAATAACCCGGCGGAATAATAAATAATTTTGTGCGTAGCATAATAGATAGTGGGAATGCTGTATCAGTACTAAATAATCCCATATAGCTTTTAAATACAATAGGAAATTATAAGAGTAAAAATGAACAACAGAGAAAGTGAAAAAAACGAGATATGGAGCTAGAAATGAGAAAAAAAGGAACAAAAATCAATCAAATTTAAAGCAGACACAGGCGCTGTGGCGCATGTGATCCATGTTAAACCACATCATAAAAATGCAAATACCGCAGTGCTCACTCCAGGAGTTTAGAGTCCCAAAACAAATCTAATATGCTTAACATATATACCTTTTCATTTCCAACATTTGCTCAACAGATTGTCAGAGAAAAGTGAGGCGCCACACAATATCCCAGGGCCTCACAAATGTAATATAACCTGGATTGCAACGGGCCGGTGGAGATGGAGAGCTGTGGCATTAGGGGCCAATGGGAGCTCTTTAAATGAGAGAGTGGCCGTAAACACCACGTCTACTTCCCTACCCTCGCCAGCATTACTAGTGGAGCTGATGACAAGTGCCGAGCCAGCTCTCCAGTGCCTTTAATACAGAGGGAGCATTCTCCAGGGGAAATGCAATCTGTGTCCTCTGCACAGATCCACTGTCTGCACTTCCCCGCATGTGAGCCGCTATCATATTATACTCCCCGCTCTCGAAATGGGAGAAGGAAATAGGAAATCGCCTCGGCCAGAGATGAACCAGGAAGATAATAAAAAAAATAGTGTTACGCAAACGGCCGCAGATCAGCCCGCCATGCAGTCCTCCCCCTGGCTGAGCGCTAAACAATAAGCAGTGGGGATTGCTCGGGATTCTTTTGCCATTGATAAGAAAGTACGCCCCCCTTTTTACCCCGCAGGCATCTATTGGCTTAAAGCAGCTTAAGATGGGGGATAAGAAGAGGGACCTTCTCCTCATGTTGTGATCCAGCATGCCTGTATATTGCTAATAAAAACAGCACAAGTGCACAGACAAAAGACGCTCACAACAGGAGGCGCTGTGTGTGAAACATTATTCAGTTGACCTTGCATATTCCTGGGGAGATTTTTCATCTGAGCTGAACAAAGACACGTGAAAAATGCACAGATGACTTTTCAGCGGAGCAGTAAATCCATTAAAGTGGGGGTTTAAAGTCAAACATGTATTGTGAAGTGTGAGACTTTTTGCTGGATTGTTTTGGTTTACAAATAAAGAACAAGCCAAACAGCAGACATAAAGGAACACATCGCACAAAATAAAAACCACAATCCTACACTTCTGTGCCTGCCTGAAAAAGACAAAGACACTTGAGCAGAAGCTGGATGGTGAGTACGCTCTGGGATCTGTGTGTGTAGAGTCAAGTCACTGTGCAAGCTTGAAGTAAATGCCGGACACATATGCGTGTGTGTGTGCGTGCGTGCGTGCGTGCGTGCGTGCGTGCGTGTGGTGTGTGTGTGTGTGTGTGTGTGTGTGTGTGTGTGTGTGCGTGTGAGAGAGAGACAAGGTTTGTGTGACAGCGTTAAGCCTGAGTGAGAGGTGAAAGGACCGCTGTACTCACAGTTGTGCTCTTGTTTCCCTGTGGTCTGTCGGCGTGTCAGAGTTTCATCCTCTCAGCGTCTCTCCCTGGGCTGGGCTTCCTCTTCTGACCAAAAGGTGTGAGGAGGAGGAGGAGGAGGAGGAGGGATGCACGGATTGAACGCAAAGGAATGAAACCAGAGTGAGAGAGAAAGAAGAGAGAAGAGGAGGAGGAGGAGGAGGAGGAGGAGGAGGGGGGGTGGTGTGTTGAGAGAGCGAGATGAGAGAGGACGAGAGAGAGAGATGGACGAGAGACGAGAGAGAGAGAGAGAGGATTGAGAGATGAGAAGAGAATGGAGAGAGAGAGAGCTGAAGAGAGAGAGGAAGAGGAGAAGGCACGAGAGAGCAGAGACGGAGAGAGAGAGAGAGAGAGAGAGAGAGAGAGAGAGCGTGCTGAGGATGGAGGGAGAGCCAGCGGTGCCCTGCGATTGGCTTGTCAGTCCGGGAGAGGGAGCGGTGGTCTCGGCGGTGGTGGAGCGGTGGGTCGGTCTGTGGCGTCTCCCGATTCCAAACACCTCGAGAGCCGGTTCGCGCAGATTCCTACGGCTCACACACGCTCGCTGGCTGCCTCACGACTTACACACACTCTGCATCCTCATCACAAAGAGCGAGGGAGAGAGAGAGAGAGAGAGAGGGAGGGAGGGATGATAGAGTGAGGCAGACAGATTCAGAGGGCCAATGACAGCTTCAAGCTGAAGCTTCTCCTTGGCTCCTCATCAATGACAGGTACTGAAGAACAAGAGACTGAGGGATCCCCCCCACCCCTCCAACTCCACCATTATACACACACATACACACACAAATCACTGCTCCACATCCATCCGCTAACCCCCCCCCCCCCCTCCCCATCCCAATTACCATGGCCGCGGCAGATGTATTGGGCTTGTCAGCTCTCGAGCAAGGGCTGTAGAGGAGATGTGGGCTAACTTATTTCATCTCATTTAACCAAACTATAATTAGACAACACTGTGGAACAAATTTTTTGCACAACTGGATTGAGGATTTTTTTTGGAAGTGGGCGGTGTGAGGATGAGGATAGGTGGAGGGGAGGGGGGGCAAGAAAACAGACACAGGCAAACTGCAATTAGCTTTTTGAAAATCACCGGCCTGAAAGTTTAGATTAAAGCCATTTCCAGGAGAAAACACATGCGAGGAGAGAATTACACTTCCTGTATAAAAAAATCTAAAAGGACAATTGATCTACAACCAACTGTGTGTAATCCAGATTCATTGATTTAACTATGAGTTATAATGCTGTCATTAGAATTTGACTAATTTAGGTGAGAAAACGGCCTACACGTTCCAAAAACGAGATTCAGTCCGACCACGAAGCACTGTCCGGGATATTAGGCCTGACGTCTCAGCAGTCGACGCCCAGTTCGCAGCCGAATGTCAGGCTGCGGTATCTTTCCCCTCATTAACTGTCGTGTCTGGTCAACATCGGACCGACTCCAATCGGCTCCACGCAAAGTCCCAAGAATCCTATCTCTGCCTCTTCACTCCACCACATTCAATTAAAAAGAGAAATTGGCAATTAGATCACTGTTATGATCCTGTAACAGTGATCTAATCTGTAATTCATTGGCTGCTGCTCCCGTGGGGGGGGAGGGGGGGGGGGGGGGGGTTCTTGATGGAGTGGCTCGGATACTCCTTGGCATTCACCTCGGCTCGGGCAGCACACAGGGGCCGGGCGGAGCTTTGGGGCCCTTGGTGCTAACCAGAGGATTCTATAGCATCACCGCTGTGGCCTTGTTTGCCCCGCGGCAAGAACACAACCTGTAACACACACTTGTTTGTTTCCCTCTCATATGCATGGGGGGCTCGGTTTGCAGGTTGTAATATATGTGTGAGCATGCACGGCAACACACAGCTGCGGAGCACGAGGTACACAAACACTCTCATGGGAAGACATATATTACTCCTTAATTGAATTAAGTCAATTCCATTTGGTTAATGAAGGGGCGGGGGGTGGTTTGCCCTTTTAGGGGCATCAGGCTAACAATCACATTCAGACATGGGGGATGGAGTATGTTAGAGGAAGGGTGGGGTCACAATCTCCAGACTGGAACCAGTGTCTTGTCACCACCTCTGTGACTGGAGTCATACTCGCGGCAGCTCCACCACATGTGGACTGTCTGCACCACTTATCATCACAGACCTGAAACGGCAGCCATGTTTGTGTATTTCCTTCCTAAAAAGGCTTGTTACCTGGCAACATTTGATACATTAAAGGCCTTTTTATCTAATCATCCATCTTGTGGTGCTTATATTTAGTCTGCGGATTAATGCAGTGTCCTTTATAGCAGACACCCACACTGACACAGAGCCAGTGGCAACAGGGAAGCAAACTGACAATCATATATATATATATATAGGTGTGTGTGTGCCGGCGACACATACACACACGCATACGCACACAGGAACAGTGTGATTGCTCTGCTTCACTCGTTTAGCACTTCTAAGGCAGAGATCCCCAGAGGCCACCCATCACATCCAGTTACTGTGGCACACAGACACGACCGGGGCCCCACCTGGCTGCTCTCACCTCAATCTGCAGGAGGCAGGAGGCACTCGCACCATGTCGCTCTCTTTCTCAATCACACACACACACACACACACACACACACACACACACACACACACACACACACACACACACACACACACACACACACACACACACACACACACACACACACACACACACACACACACACACACACACACACACACACACACACACACACACACACACACACACACACACACACACACACATACACACACACACACACACACACACAAAGATCAAAGACGTGGTCACACACACACACACACCGAGCTGATATCTCTCATCAAAGATCACAAGGACTTTCCGCCGTACAGACTTTTACAAACTTGCCGTCACGCACATAAAGTTGTTACGAATCGCCTCGTCGTGTTAAATCACAAAAGTACATTGCTTTAACGCGTCTGCTAACTGTATCATAGTCACACTCTCTGACTTTTCACGGGAGGTGTGAAGAAGCTCCCCAGCCAGCAGTCCTGTATGAATAGACAGACTATTATCATCTCCATCCCCGGCACTCATTATAACAAATATTATGTAATTAAAAGAAAATGAGTAAAATGTGTCATGCCGGTGAGAATAACAGATGGAATAAATGGAAAATGGCTACATTAACATATACTTTTTAAGAAAGAGGACTAATGAGACAGAACTGTGTTGACTGTTTTGAGTCATGCTAATGGTTTCAGGTGCTGAGATAGAGATGTAATGGCGCGCTCAGGGGGGCTACCCTTGCGGGTTTAAAAACAAAGAGATAGGCGGCAGATAGCTGGAATGGGAGTTTGCTGAGCGGGGTGAAAGTTCTGTTAAGGGGGAACAAGAGGGTAAAGGAGGTGGAGGTCGTCTGGATGATGATTAGTGCCGGTTGAGCCTGACTTGTCACAGGTTGACATGGGATGCAATTATGGAGAGGAAGTTTCACAGCCCCTCAGGCATGTGCCAGGCATGCTGTCAATGCCGGCTGATGTGTGGGCTCTTGGCACTGCCAAAGGTGTCACAGGTGCTTATGTGTGCTCAAAACTGCTACGCTCCCATGAAAATTGGCCTTAGCTTTTCCCAGACGCACTGGATGATGACTGTGTGTGCATGTGCCCGTGCACACTCGGCTACCTTTGTTTGAGTATTAGTTAAACCCTACTCCACTCCCAGCTTTTTCTCCCTCTCACTATTTCCTTATTTCCTCTGAAGCTACACGTTAAAGCTACAACACTTGTGATTCAGCCGGCTTCTCACGCTGTTCCCACATCTTCTCCTTTTCCCGTATCAGCCTGCATATGACTCTGCCAGCAGTGCGAGTAAGCTCTGTAAGACCCAAGGCAAATTACCTCAGCGGGACACTGCACTTCTGTTCCCTTGCTTCTTCTCCCCCTCTTCCACATCGTCTTCTCTCTTCCCCCTTCTCTGCATGTCACAAATCAAAGTGTGTACCTCAGCACTGCCTGCACGTCGTGGGAGTGCAGCTTAAAACAAATTCAATGTCCTCCACTGGCCGAATAGCATCGATACAGTGTGAGAGGAAAAACTGCTTGTCCATCCTTTTTACTACGTGGGAAGAACACAGTATTTTACCAAAGGACACAGATGGTCATCTGGACTCTTGTCCGACCTTTCTTTTTTTATCATAACCCCTTTTTTTCAGAAGATGGATTCATAAAAAGACTTCCGTACTACCATCTAGTGGCTTGAAAGGCTTGCTGGTGGGCCATCAGGTGTGATTTTCCACTTCAGTCAATTTTTTTTAGAGGGGGAAATGGCCTGAAATTGGATCCTCTGGCAGCTTGCAGTTCCTCTAAACGAGCCTTGGGCAACACCGGCCTTAGATGCACCCTTATTTCTCTGCTGTCATTTCCAGAAAGATCCCAGTTCTAAAGATGCTGCCACTAATCCTAAAACGGGGGGTAGAGGGATGGTTATGTGTGTGATGCTCAGTAACATCTTCAGCAACACATCTGTCCACAATCAGATACAAAGGTAATTGTAAAACGATGTTAAGAGGAGCGTAATTAGAAGTCATGAACGGTGTTATACAGCAGCCTGTTAGTAGGTCTATTGGAGTCATTGGGGTCTGCTGCTTTTCCCTGTTAGTGTTGTTAGCAATAACTGTAGTCAGCCGGCAGGACGTGTCCCTGTGTCCTCTACCTGGGGCCCCGCTGTGATCACGCAGCAGGCGAGCATATGATGCTCCTTCGCACAGTTCATAGCCCAAAACCCCAACCAAGAGGGCCTGATTAAATCGGTGGAACAAGGCCTAATTAAAAAGGGTCTGATCAGGGAGGAGTACATTATTTAACACTACCCACACATACTGATGTCTGTGCTTCATATCCTGAACCAGAGACCTTTTTTGCTTTTGTCTCCTTTGTGTCATTCTTTCTCCCTTTGTCTGTCTTGTCTTTCTGTCTTTTATGACATTTGCACCACTGCTCTTTCATCTCTGAAATAGTGCCATTCAGTAGCCATGGCACAGTTGTGAATTAGTCACAGAGACAAATGCAGGGCCCGGGCTGGTGGAAGATAACATTGTGCTTTGATTAAAGA